AATGCTATTTTCGTGTGAAAATTCTCGATTTCATTATTCATATTATATTTAACTTTATAATGCTATAACTTATTGAAAAGTTTATGGATCCACACAATTTTTTTATGAGAAATAATATTTTTTAATAAACCCTTTTTCATTCGACATACTTTATCTTAATCGAGATATTAAGGAACCAGCAGATCAAGTAGCTTTTGGAATAAAACACCAATTTTTTTTAAATTAAACACTATCTAAAGATTTGCATCGAAGCGTTTATTTTTGATAGTGATTTTAATCACTGTCAGATATCATTATACTTGATCCAACTATACCACGTCACAACTGTGCCGCGACCCCCCTGTGCTGGGTTGGGTTTTTACTTATGGCATTGGTTGACATTTTAGTGTTTTACAAAATAAAAACATGTTGATAAATACATTTTATGGTAGATATTGAATGAAACACCAACATTGTATAATGTACAATTGATGTTCATGATGTACGGTATACATTCAATCAGAGTGATCTATTATATTTTGTGCAACACACGTGGCTAGTATATTACATCAATATACACCAGATATTATTTAGTTAATGGGTGATAGTTAAAATATTTCTACAAAAATATTAAAAAATATAACCAATGTGTGCCAAAAAAATTTGGAGTTTTTCAATTACGACAAGCAAGTTTTCATTATACATAATATATATCTAAACATGTATACATAATATCTTAATATTTTGCTAACCTTAATATTTCATAAAGATAGAAATTACGGAAAAGTATTCAACTTGAATTAAACTAAAAATACTTGGGAATCTCATGATCATAGATATGAATTAAAAGTACATGTTTTAAAACATTTTTCGGCAGAGGTATATGTCATTATAAAATTTAAGTATTATTTTTTACATTTAATCTTATAATTTAATGTCTAAATTAAAATTTTTTTTAATTATACTGTTTTAATAAATATTTGTTTTTAAACAAATTATTGTTAAATTTAAATGTAAATATTGTTATAATTAACATATTTACATTAAACAAACAACATGAATAACAAAAAATTTGAACTGATGATTTCTTGTTTTACTAGCTTCTACCTATAAAATTTATAACTCTTAAAAGCAAACAAAAAGAGACTACCCACTTTGATGAAATGTAATCTCAAACAAAAATGTTTACGTCAATTATCTTCTAAGTCACTATCAGAATATCTGTTAAAAAGATATTTTTAATTAAAAATACGGTAAGAGTAATTAATTTTTTTTACATTTCTTACGGTATTTTTTCAAGTTAAAAAATTCACCAAAATCACCTCAAGAAATAAAGATCAAAAGAAAACTATTACATTAAATTCTTTTTTTTCTCCATTATGAAAAAATTTAATTTTTAAAAATTAAAATACATTTATTTACGTGAACACTGAATTAGATGCAAAACGCATTTATAAATAATTATACAATCATGTTGTCTGATCGAACATTTATTAAAAAGGTCAATCTACACCTGTACACATCACTAGCAAATGTATTGTGTGCGATTTACCTTTATAGTATTTTCTCTCTTAACCAAAACGTATTTAAATAACACATTACTGCCACTTGGCATATCGAAATATCTCGACAAATTTACACTGCGAATAATATACTTCACTACATATATTGTTTGTATTATTATATATACACAATATTTATTTTTTTGCAGTTTTGTTATACTACTGTGTTTTAGTCACGCACTGCTTACGATGTAAGCCAAAATCACGCGAGCCAATTACACTACACCACAACTAAGAGGGAGGTAGTTTGCGGGATAGTACAGATTCTCCATTATTTTGGATACAATCAGAACCCTTTATTTGTAAATTTAATAGAAAAAATGAACCACTTTCGAAAATACTTAAAAAAAAATACTTCATTTGAACGACGGGAGTAAAGAAAATTTAAATTATGCTTTAGAACCATTGCGGCCATTATTTTCAGTGTAGTATAATTATTTGAATCACAAACGTTATTTCCAAAGCCATTCATTAATCGTATATACTTACATAAAAGTCACACACACCAACATTCCAAGTGTATTTACCTTCTCCTGCACTATTTATCAACGTTGATCGCTAATTAGACTCAGCAATAATAATAACCATAATCACAATCTCTTTTTGGCTCATGAACTATACTATACACAAAGGGGTAGTTTTCACATGTAGCCATTTCTATCAATTATTTAATTAATAATTATTACCTCCAGAAAAAAGATAATAAACCACCAAAGAATCATAATTAGTAAATGAAAATTGTAAGATAATGTTTTCTCACTATCGGTAACAATATTTAATTGCAATAAATTATTTTGTTTTTGAATTTAAATTTTCAATACATAAAATTTTAATATTTTTTCAGTCTGATTTCATTTGAAGGTTTTGAAAAAAAAAACCAATATAATTAAATATATTTACAAGATTAAGTTTATATTAAAAATTAGGATCGAGATTAAACACCATCTTAATTTTTCTTACTATTTAAGTTATTTATTACAAACAAGAGTTAAATTAAAAACTAAATGTGTAAATTCTTTACAATAAAAATTATATATAGTTGATAAATAATGATCGAGTGTTGACCATAATCATTAATATATAATAAAAATTTCTAACAATACAATTTTAATCAAAACATTTAAATTATTCAGTAACATTTTTAGGAACAAAATTTGAAAATTCCTAGAAAAATATTCTACAACTTACATAGCATTAGTTGAAATTAAAAATTTTTTTTTATTAGTTTGATAATATAACCAAAGGTTGACTATTTAATAAGAATGCTTAGGAACTGAAATAATTTCGGTAATAACAATTTTATTTATCTCTAGTAAAATAATTTATCTAAATCGAATTTTTTTTAGAACATGTTGAAAAAAACGATTACAAAAACCATAAATATTACAAGGTTGCTTTTGAAACCTTAATTAAACTTAATAAAGATTAAAAACCAAATTGTACTAAAAAAAAATCGATGTAGATCAACTATTTTAATAGATTTAAGAAAAATTGTTTAAAACCGAAATTTTTCCAGTTTCTAATCATTCTTATTCAAATTAAAATTTGAAAATTACCCCCATAATTTGGAATTAAATATGTGTTAATTAAATCATTAAAATGAAAACTCATCTTTCTATTGTATTTTTTCAATTTATAGAAATTTTCTAAGCAAACCGATTTTTTGAGCCATTAGAAATGCTTTTTAAGCTTTTAAATAAGTTCTATGTTTTGTTTATGTTGACTAATGTCGCACTTTATCGCTTAATCGGTCGTATCACGCAGCATATTATAGATTCTTATCTTTTTGGTTTATTTGGTTCGAAACTGTAATGGTAAATTGACGTTTATTTTTATACTTTTTGACTTTTGAGACCACTACAGTTGTTTATGTACATTATCCCCCTAGTTGATAACCTTAATAACGACTTAAAAATCATTCTGGGATCCTTTTAATGTAAAAATAAACCATACTATTAAATTGGTAAGGAAAATTACAAATCATAATATGAAGATTTTTTATTTCTTAACACAGACATTATATCATTTAACATGTCTATTTGAATTATTTGAAGAGATAAATAATAATTGAAAATATGATAGAAAATAATCATCTTTTACTTGGTTGATTGTTGCTTAATAACAAAAATAGTAAACATTTGAGTCAAAAAATAACTTTTACTATAGATTTCTAATATTTTGCATATCTATGGCTTATTGATGTTTCATTTGTTGTTCAAAGATTAAAAGTAAAATCCTCACAAAAAAATCTTTTAGTGATACAATTGAAAAATATCCAGTTAAAAAAAATTTTATATAATTGCCGTAAAATGGACTCAGTTTGCCTACCGAGTATAAATTTATTTATTTCTAAATATAACTCTAAAGCAATTGTTTACAATAGTAGAATAAATAGTTGTACATAGTTCAGTTTTAATTAAATATTTTATCTATACTTACATCACTTAATGTATATAAGTAATATGATTCGAAATAGACTTTAACCTAAATTTTTATTAGACTCGTAATGTATGCAGAGTGATTTATTTAATTTCTTTTACTATAGTAAGATTTTTGAAAAATTTTTTTAATGACATATGAATTTCTATTTATTTGTTATAAAATCATTTTTAAGTCCATTTCTTATTTCTTATAAAAGTGTAACCTTAAAATTAAAAAATGGTAACATACATATTAAATTAACTTATAAAATAGAAAATGATTATATTAAGAAAATGACTGGTCGATAACAACTTTTAAACCAGTACTTTGAAAGTCTTTCTTATTTTCATATTTAGGCGGGAGGAAAAGTACGACTGGGAAATGACTAGCCATGAAAATAGCAGCACTCACTCTTCCAGTTATATTGTCAATAACATAAAAATTAACAATTAAGATGAGTACTTTGAGAAATGACAACAAGTAATATGGGTGAGGTATACATTTAACTCAACGTGTCAAATGTGCCTGTTGTGTAAACATAACATTTGAAGTTGAAAAAATAACACTGAAATTCGAAATGAAACACTCAGTAAAGCGATGTGCATTTTGGGATTCGAAAACGTATCAAATTTACTCAGTTGCAATACTTCACGTACTATTAAAAAGTGAAAAGCGGAAAAAGTGAACTTTAGGTTTCGTTTATTACAATTGTCTACCGAATTGTAAAAAATCCTGCTGAATGTTCAAACCACTTTATACCTTTATAGTTCATCTATCTAAAACCATTCTGTTTTTTTACTTTATATCCATTCGCTCGCATAACCTTAACCTTTGCGATACGCTATTTATTTAGTAAACGTGTTTTGCTTACCATGAGCAATGATTTCGCCGGCCTCTCGGGTCCAATAGTTGATCGACTTAGGATGTGCTTCTGACAAACATTCTAGCATCAGCGATTGTCCAATAACTGCACCTATCAACTGGTTTTTAATCCAAATCATCGGTGGGACTAAAAAACATTATTCATTAATTTAAAAAATCATAATTATATATTTATGTAAATTATACATACAGTTTACAACCAACATAATTCGTTTGCTGACTGATGGAGGTACACCGTTAGACGCTATACACAAATAAGCTCCCATATGAATCCGACTGACCCGAGTTAAGTTGAGAATAGGCCCTTCCACATTATGAACTAAAAATCAATAACAAATAAAGTTATTTAAAAAATTACATCTTTAGAAATATTTAAAGAGAAATGTTTCTAATAGGTAAGGCAAATTGTAATTAAATATATTTCTAAAATATCATATAGAGATTAAAAGATTTATTGATAATTTTATCATATTTTTAGCGTATTTTATTATTAGATGTAATTGTAATTTAGAAAAAAGAAAAATAATACTTAGGATTTATCTAATTGATTAAAAATCATCGGTCAGATATAAAGGCTAAAATATTTTTAATCGAAATTATAACTTTTTATTTTATAGAGATGACATGTTAATGGCAAAAAAGCCTATGTTAAAAATTTTCTACCGGAAAATGCCACTTAACTCTAGAAAAAGCATTGTACACAATATGCTCTATGCTCTTTTTTATTAATTTGATTGACAACAAATAAACTTCGGAAACCATTAATATTAAATTTTGTTTTAAAGATATGGGTTGCTTAAATACCATTACAACAATTAGATAACTAAAAATATGTTAAATTTCTAAATAGATATATAAATCATAAATATTTTTTATTAGACAAATATAATTTATACAACTGAAAATGATACTTTTCATTTCGATTATTATTTTTTAATGTCACATGAGTTTCTGGAACATTTAGTTTATTTTCCATTATTGTGTTTACTTATACTACAAAAAAATACTTATCTTTTAAGTTGTCTGTGTTTTTTCACAAAAATATAACTATTAATGTCCTTTGTCATATAGTCATAAATGTTATATAATGACCCTTTTGATATTATTTTGAATGTTCAGAAACTATAACGTATGTGATATTAAATAATTTTTATATAATTTTATTACTTTATTGATACAAAGCTACAAACTAAACGATGATGTTTAAAAAAATACCATTATGTAATAGGTTCTCTTCCCTCGATTATTATTTTGAAATATTAGCTAAATATTCATATTTTTATTTAAATAGCATTGTTATTAAAGAATATAAATAATTAAATAAAACTTTTAACATAATAAACATGTAGTACAAATTAGTATACTTGAAAGTATTTATTTAAGTTGTTCAGCAAAATCTAATATTAATTGAGGTACTTTTATTAATTTTTATTAATCTTTGAAGGACATGAAATAATAAGATGACTGAGTAAATAAAATTAATCTACCATTTATCGAAATATTTAATTAAAACTTTTAATTTATTCAATGGAATGAATAAATTTATTCACTCATTCAAAATAATTTCTTTTTGTTGATTTGATTCTTTTAAAAATATTATAAATTCAACTTAGAAGTTAATTAACACCTGTACGTTACAATTGAAAGTTTGAAATATTAATTATAAAATTAACTGATTGAGTAAATATATTTTTGATGACTATCGGTGCAGATGGTCTTAATTTAAAATCAAAATTGTATGTTTACCGTGTTGAATCATGTTTATTTTTATATAAAATATATTCATTTAATATTTTTTAAAGGTTTCTTCAATCTTTTTTACTATTTTTCAATTCTTTTTTTAAGTTTTTCAAATGTAAAATTGAATTAAATAATTCATTTTTATAACATTTTAACTTTAACGGATATTTTACAATCAATTTCACATCATGTAGACATTGATATAATCGAATAATATTATATTTTAAAGAGAATAAATAAATAGGAAACAGAAATTTTAAACTAATTAAATCATATAGAATAAATCGAACATAATGAGCAATGATATTTTCTTATGATTGATACTGTTAATATTTAATTATCGCAATATTACAATATTCAAACGTTTTAATAAACAACCTGGACCTTTGGGGAATTCAAGAGAACTATGGGACTATTGCAGTCTCGAAAAAGTATATGAAATTGTTACAAAAACATGTACTTATCATGCTAAACAATTTCCTAATGGTATTGTATAAAATAAATCATCTGTTAGGTGATTATCGAAGTATAGGATAGAGACGGTTTAGTAAATATATAAAATCCCAAACTCTATAATATCTAAAAGTTTTTATTATTGCTTACATACGAGGTTACTGAAAAAACTCACGGGAAATAACAAAGCTTCCCTTCAGGTCTATATTAACTACCGAGATCATTTTACAATACCATACATCCCGTTATTGCCTTTCAAATTATCACACGAGTTAACATCGAACCCTTTCAAAAGGTATATGCCGTAATAACATTAATAATTTTACTTTAATAATAAACGGTTTATTTTTTTAATGTTTTAAAAATAAAAGCCATTTGCTAAAATTTCACTAAAGGCAACTTTTGTTTGTGGTTTATCCCCTTGAGTTAAATGCGCAAACGCATATTTATATTTATATTGTGATTACATCATTTTTCACCACTTTGGTTCAAAAAAGGTAATCAGTAGAAGGAAAAAACTGTTGTTTTTTTAATGTATAAGGATTAAAAAAAAAAGCAACCGGGATAATCCCTTGTCCGGCTGGCTCTCGATGTATATTTAATATACCAACGGCTTTGAATTGTGTGGACATTAATACTTAAATCTCTACGGGGAGCATTAACTTTTCCTTTTGCAAGAATGCCTCTTTTACAATACATTATGATATTTACAAAATAAACGTATAATATATATATATTGTTCTCAAAAATTTGTCATAAAAATGCAAATCAACGCCACGGTTTACCACAGAGTTATAAAATATTTATTATGTGGTGATTTTTTTGTCGATTACCGCATAAAAACTAACTGCATCGTAGCAATTCTTCAACTTTTTAAAGGAAAGAAAATTTTCCCTTACTCCCTAAAAATAACAAAAAGGTATTTACATGTATAATATGTACATATACAATTATCTAACAAATTGATCCCCATAATCTCATTAAAACTTAGGAACTATGATTACAAGAAATATATTCCCAACAAAATTAAAAAAATTAACCATCTCTGCTATTAAATCAAATTCAAATTTTATGATACTTAAGAAAAATCATACATTTATAGGATCTAGGGTAAATTTTCAACGAATTATATGTATTTTTATCCTGTTTGACTTAAAGATATCAGTGTTTAAATAGCACTAAATAAACTACAAAAAGCTCTGTACACATCTCGTTAGCATAGTACACCCTTTATAGTCAACTCGTATCGTTAAGAAGTGGTCGAGCTATTTACAGACTCATGAACGTACTTCAAGTATAATGTAAAAGGATCAAACATTCGTCGTGACCCGTTGAAAGCGTTTTAAAAAGTGACGCTACTAATGCTAAATAATGTGAAGTATTACTTTAAAGCTAACCTTGTTTGAAAAAGAACAAAAAAAGTTACTCTACTGCACTCAGATATGACTAAAATATTCATGTATCTTACAGCTAAATTGCTACTCAAGAGTTGAACTCTAGACTATCTTGTGCAGTTCTTTTTTCAATTATCAAAATTACACCATTCTTTAAGTTTTTATTTTACTCGAATAAGGAAATAATAATCATCCAATTAAGTCGGATTGCATAGCACTTAAAAAAACTCACCCTGTTTCCCTCGTTCTAACTGTATTAGTTCCCCCCCTTCTCGTCGCCATGTGATGTTCGGAGCTGGCGATCCGGAAGCGGCGCACCTTAAAGACACATTACTGTCTTCACGAACATTCATATCTGTGCTTGTTGGATAGTCCAATATGTCTGGCGGTACTGAAAATAAAATCGATTTAAGTATAAAATTGATTAGCTGTCTCAATGATTATGAATATGCGTAATAAGGCGTAAAAATAATATCAAAGAAACAAAAAATATGTAACGCAAATAATTTTTAAAACGTCATTGTCGTTTAACTTAAGATTAAAGAAAAAGGGAAACACGGAGATATTCGCTAAGTTTTAATCCACTCCTTGCGGCAGTTTTTGAAAAGTGCATACGCTTCATTGAAGCCGTTTTGCCAACTTCATGATTCATTAAATCTTTTGTCACTCTCAAACACCGCGGCCACTACTACTCTTTCTACAGCAACTCGGTGGCAATCGAGTTTTAAGGAAAGGAATGAAAGAGGAAAAAGAATGGTTTTTACTGCAAGTGTATAATGACAAATTTACAGCTATCCTCTTCCAATGTGGGTCGCGCACACCATACTGATAAATCGACTTTGGAGACTTTTATAATTTTTTCTCCTCTTTGCGCTATTTACTCTCGACGTCATTTTCTTTCTTTATTTTTTTCGCGTGTGTCTTATTATTTTACTTTTCTTCACCAACAAACTTGTCACTCAGACTCTTCCAGTGACGCGTATAATTTGATTTTTATTTATATATTATTATTATCATTATATAAAACCACTACGGAGTTCTTATCCGATTACTTAAATGACACTCGATTTTTGTATTTGTAGTACTTAGTTTATAGATTTTGTTTACTTATGCATTTTGCTTCAACAGTTTTTATAGTAACAATTTAAATTCCTACTCGTCATTTTACACCCTTTAATTTAGTATAGTTCCCAAATAATAATGCCGCTATACAAAACAAAATCCCTCCTACTGGTATAAAAATATAGATATTTTAACTAAAATTCTGATACAACATGTATTTTCTATTTTTAAAATAACCTCGGGGACTTTTTTTATTTTCTCATATCTTAGTGGATTTTGAATTAAAAACACAACAGCTTTATGTAATATATATTTCTTATGAAATATTTTTTCTACAAATAAAATCTTCTTGAGTCTTAATGTATTGATTTCTACTCTTAATTTATTTAAATGAAAGATTTCCAGAAACTCTTTTATCTTTTAATATTTATAAAACTACGTCGTTTTTATACAAAAACAATTTGCCTGGTATAATGTTAATAATTAAAATAAACTACTCAAACGTCGGTAAAAGATATTTAATAATACCCTTTAAATATAAAGCCTGTTTAATCAAAACAATTTGTACAAAATTAAACATCAAAGTTCTTTTTATATATTGACGGCTCATAATATTTTAATATAAATAATAAGTAGCCAATGACTATATTTTACATTCAATTAGTTCTATTTTAAAATTGAAATTATATCTTGCGCACGAAATCTGTTATACAAAAAATCACATGAAATTAATTGATTTAAAGAATAAATATATCGAAAATGTAACTGTAAAAATAAATATATCATATTACATTTGTAAACACGTATTAGGATTCAATGTATTAATACGTTTTTCAGTAACTTTACATTTTAATTATAATGAATCTAATATCCACTCTTTGGCACCGAGTTTATTGAATATCATCGATATACGTAATTACTATCTGATGCAAACTCTAGTGCTTTATAACTATTAAGCAAATGTTTATCGTTAGCACACATAGGTTAACAGTTCGCACGCCACGAAGTGCTTATATTGTAACCACTAATACGGTCGTACCTTTCCAAGTACACATAGAAAAGGTATCAATAAGATGCAAATGAGACCATTGTGGTTTGCCGCAAAGAGCTATCCTAGCCTATTTATGGCGATGTTGGAAGGTCAGATGTGTATATGTCGAATAAATGTATGCACAGTACACAAATAGTCATTGAAGTCACCACTTTCATATCCTAGAAGGATCGACGTTTGAACGAATACAGATTGGCTTTTAAGTCCTTTGAACTATTCTTGTTCGTGCCCGTATACTCTGTACAAACCCAATTTATGTATCAACCAAATGATGGTATGAATGTTTTCTCAATTAAATTCAGTTAACCATTAACTGAAGTAGAATAAATCATAATATATGCATTATTTTAAAAAAACCTAACATAAACATCATTATTATAATATACAATAGCATACAAATAATGACGATCGTAATAAGTATTATTTTTTGAGATTTATAGCAAAAAGTCCCAACAACTCGAGCAACTCACAGAGTAGCATACTCAATGCACCTCGGACAATGATTCGATTTTTGTGCTGTGCAAATTCAACTTAAATTAATATTTTCACACTATTTCAAATCTGATAAGACACTAAGATCCTTAAACTATTGATATTTTAAAACTTTATAAATACAAAAAATATTAGGTTCAAAAAAGTCGAAAATAGCATTTAATTAAATAAATTTTTAAGGCCATCAGAGTTAATAAAAATGTTATATTTAATTTTTTTAGCGGAAATCCCTATGTTTAACATAATATTATGAAAGAAAAAAAATTATTCAATTTTTTTCAATTATATAAACAATTTTGTTCTTACAATTTTTTTTATTCTGATGGACTGTTCATCCATTACAAGCATTTCAATACATAGAGTGGGTATCCAACGCGGTTTACAGTTCGTATTAGTGTATGTAGACTTCGCCCAACCACTTAGTGTACGTATTCAAAGCGCTGGTAGTTTTTTGAACCTAATATTTTTCGCCTTTATAAAATTTTTAAATCTCTATAGTTTCTGAGAAATTGAGTGCGTTACCAGATTTGGATGATTCGTAATGTGAATATTTATCGACAACTAAATGTTCTTTTTTAGTTGAATAGTGAATTATTTCATTATTTTTAAATAATAATAAAAAAATTGAAAACTAGTAATAAATACTAATAATTATGTTTATTTTATGTACAGACCTACAATTTCCATGAAACCCAATTGACTTTTCATCGGATCTGTATTAATTTGACACATATACCATCCTCTGTCAGACTCTCTCACTTCTCGAATATGTATATGCCACGTCCTATGGTCTGTATGAGACACACCGATTCGATGGTTTTTAGTAATAACGTGATTGTGAATAGTTAATATTGTTTGGGTGTCTACTCTGAGCCAAGCCACCTGTGAAAAATAATAATAATAATAAAATTAATTTTATTAGAAAAATCATCAGTATTTTTTTATTACAAATTATTTTAATTTTAATGAATGATAATTCATTAAAATTAAAATACCAAATCAATCTATAACGAAAAAACTAAGCGACATTTTAGGTATGAATTTGTGGCAGAATTCTTAGCAAAGCTGTATAATGAGTCTGGTAGAATGTTCAATGAATAATACTTATTATATACTCTTCCTTGAAGTTAATCGTCATCTAAACACTATTCCGACAATAGGTTGTTGCTGATTAATAGTATTACTCTGTATTTAAACTTGTAGAGCGCTTGTAGATCTGTCAAAGTCACCTTGTGTATTTGGGTTTATATCCTTGTGTGGATATTCGTTTTAAGGGGTAACATTAACGTGATTTATGTGTGACACATGATATGCAGATTTTGATTCAACCTGACAAAATATTTCAGCGAGATTCTAGAGAATGCTGAAAGCTAGATTTTCTATTTAATTAGAACTCACTCGATAAGTTTGTGAAATCTATCGAGAAAGTTTTACTTTGGAATAAACTAATTATAATTCGGTACATTTCAAAACAATAGAAATACATCAAATTATCACCGCAATAACATAATTATTAAGGAATACCAATAGTGTTAACTATCTATTTTTGTTTTTTAAATTATATTAAAAAATAACACTTTTGATATAACACAGTTCATTGAAGTAAATATACATTTTACCAATTATCGACTTCATGTATTAACGAGTACTTAAACGATTCATGACTATGAATCATTAATTCAATACGCATACAGAGATAACGATTCCAGGGGATTCGACCGGATTTGTGTAAACTGAACACACACATATATAGAGGATTATTTAATGAAAGAGATCAAAAAACGAACCTTTTGCGACTTCATTACACCTTGTTTTATATAATAACATAATTTTGATTTCCATTAAATTGATAAATATTTAAAACTGAACTAAAATTTGTGTTATCCATTTCTAGAATTATTTCTGAAAATACGTAAAACTTACTTGAATGAAAATGAATTTGTAGTCACAAATATATTTACTCTAAAGTCACAAAAATTTAATAAATATGTTCTCTATTTGTTTGCATTATTTATAGAAAAATTATATTTTTTATTTTACACTTTTATTGTTAGTTCCGTAAATGTAAATAATATTCCACGTTAATATTTAATAACAGTTCATTCACATTTATTGATTTGGTATGGTCAAAAAATATTATTATCCATTAGTAATAATGTTTCTTCTTTGATCTAAATTATATCTATAAATAATTACTTAAGGTAATTATTAATATTGCAAATTCCAAAAATTATCTTATAAAAAATTTAGAAATCCATGAAGACAAGGGTTTTCTCTGAATGTATTTTAAAAACACTTAAATGATTCCTTAAAAATAAGTTCTGTTATTTCCAAGTTGTTATTACTTTTACTTTCAGCTTTTTAAGTAAAAAAGTTTATTGAACAAATTAATTTCTGTAAAAGTTGATTATTCAGGTTCAAAATGTCCCAATTAATTTTACCGAAATTAAATACAGAAAATATTATTTTATAAGTTAGAAAAAAACGTTATAAGGAAGTCTTTTATAGTTTAATGTATAATTTGTACCTGATCGCAAAGAAATTTAAAAAAAACACTATGTAATCATAACATAAGAATAGTCAATAAAGGTCACCTCGAAGCTCTTTCATTCGACCTTTTGACGTAGAATTTTCTTCGACCAAAAACGACCTTTAAAAAAATAAGAATACCACTATGACAGGTTTTATTGTATCTGCTTTATTTTTTATTTACTGCCGCAAATAACTGCTTTTACATATTTATACATATATATGTGTGTGTTATTTTATAAAATACACAATATTGCACAGACCCAGTGAACGGTGTGGGGAAAAACAGTTGAAGCACGAAGAGATGCGGTATTAAAACGCCATTGACCTTTGCAATAATTTCCCCCTCCAATTCTCGTTCAACATTAATTAAAATTTAGTGTCAAACTAATTACATTTTGGAGGTTGAACCGAGGTGGTGCACGTTACTTTTGTTACTTATCGACACCTAACCAAAAAAGTCTCATTTGTTTAATGGACACAAAATTAATACCCTATTATTAAGGACTACCCCATCTATATTTGCGATTTGTTTGTTCAATTTAATATGTATAACTAATTACTACGGTACTCATTAAAAACTATTTCTTAATAAGTAAAACTTAAATAAAAACATAGACCTGTATAACCAGGACCGAGATAAGATCTATATGAGCTACGAAACTGTACCTTATGATAATCCTCCTGTAAAAAATATCACTACCATAAAAAAGTGATTAGCAAAAAAAAAAATTGTCACTAATCGTGACTTGGCTAATAAAATTCGAGATGGTCCCTTAAGCTCGTGGACCCCGGTGTTATCGTCTCTCTTTGCCACCCCCTCTTAAATTCGGGATAGATACATTTCTATCACATTAAAATAAATGATAAATCAATTTTCAAAATTGTTTTCTTAATGTAGTGTCGTCGTTTGGTACGTAAGTAATTACACGCCCTGTAACCATAGTGTTTAAACGAACGCGTTAACAAGCAAAAATAAGGGAAGGGGTGAAGAAGAGAAATAATTGTTTCGTGTACTACCATCGTAATTTCAGTAACGAAATAACGTTATACTACAAGGGTGACACGTCAGCGTTGTAGAGTTGCATTGGTGTACAGTCAGTTATAGCGTGAAAATTGCAATGAAAAGGCACCGAAGTGTAAATAATCGATTTGCATAGAAAGGTAAACTCTATCGATGCTTTCCAAAGTTCTCAACCAATAAAAATGCACAAACAGAAGTTCATGTCCTGCCTGTTGTCATCTCAAGTGGGATTTCAACAACTTTAACAAAGTCCATGACTGTTCCCTGAAATTAAATAATTATGCTAACTATGATTCTTTCTTTCCATAATTGAAATTTCGATAAATCTGTTAATTTATATATTGAAATATAATTTTTCTATATTAAAGTTAAATAGTCAACAACCTTTAACATTTGTTGGTATATATGTGAATAGATAATACAACACATAGACGTGCATAGTTCTTCAAAATATTCAAATAATGAATAATAAACATGAAAAAAAAATATTTTTCCCGTATTTATATACTTTTGGAAGAATGATTGCCATTAACTATGATGAAACCCCAAGGGATGTGGAATTATAATATAAATCTTATGCTTGCCACATATACATTGTAACGCTTACACAAATTAACTCAAAAAGAACAACAGACTCGATAAACTTATTTTATCATTCATTTTGTTTATATATCTCAGAAACCGGCTTCAGTTATAACTATGTAAAGTCGTGTACCTGATACAGAGGTATTACTTATCGGATAATTACCCGAATGANTACTTTTGGAAGAATGTTTGCCATTAACTATGATGAAACCCCAAGGGATGTGGAATTATAATATAAATCTTATGCTTGCCACACGTATATTGTAACGCTTACACAAATTAACTCAAAAAGAACAACAGACTCGATAAACTTATTTTATCATTCATTTTGTTTATATTTTTCAGAAACCGGCTTCAGTTATAACTATGTAAAGTCGTGTACCTGATACAGAGGTATTACTTATCGGATAATTACCCGAATGAAAATCAAACACATTTTATGAAGACAAAAATAAACAAAGAAACAATGAGATAGTAGTTTTAATGATCATTAGGCTGAATGAACAAAAAAAAAAAAGAAACAACTCACACAGCTCCTACTTTTTAGAACGTTGTTTTGACATTAATATTTGTCATGCTTTTTATTATTTAAGAATTATACTATCATAGAATTATATGAGATATTTGAAATACAAGCTGTATAACACATAACTTGACCATTGTTTTTTTTTTCAATTTTTAACAATTTTTCCGCATACTATTTATCAAGACTATTTATTTTTAGTCCTATTTTTCACCTAACTTAATTTTTTTAAACATTTATCTTATACTCCTTCAATATAAGCGACTTTCTCAATTTTTAACGGTGAACATTATATAAATAAATTATTATTCACAAATATAAATTTGATTCAGGGGAAGAATATATGTATATTCACATCGCTCCTTTTTAAGAAATTTTTATAACTATACAATATTCTTTTTAATTATAAACAATTAAAATGAAAACTTCCCAAGTATTTGAAACGTATACTTTAACGAAAATTTAATTATTATCTAATATAATGATAGTATTGTAATAATAATGTCCTATATTATTATTAGTTTTTTAATATTTTTAAGTACAAGTTATTGAAATATAAAATAAAAATATAAATTCCTAAAAAATAATTTGAATAAACAAAAAAATAGTTCCTGTGATATAAGTTTATTATTAAAAATGTTATTTTTACATTTATCAAAGTAGTACAAATTTTAATAGCCAAAGGTTTATAGAAATGTTTTTCAACTTAAGTGATAAATTACACGGCGTTCTTATTTATTTAATAGGAAATCTATATTTAAATTTAAATTTTACGCTATTGGTACAATTTAAACAAATATACATTTGTTAAAAACAAAGTTATTTTGAATTTGAAGTTGAGATTTAAGTAAAAACAAAAGTATTACTAGAATATATCTTTATAATGAAGACTTAATAATGTTACAGTTTTATTTACATCCTCAAATTTTAGCTTTCTAACCACCTACCAAAGAAATCGGTGGATATTTTCCGAAATTGATATAGCAATTTTAAACATTTTCCAGGAAAGCGTAGATAAATGTTCCCCTTAAATTGTAAACGTAATTTTGAACACACAATAACATTCTTCTAAGTATATGATAAAAAGTCACAAAAACCAATTTTTGGGACATACGACTTTGAATATGAGTCATAAAAATTGATTTTAGAAAAATGAATTGTGTAATTTTTTGAATATCATTACTTATTAGATTTCCTATGATCTACCATATACATTTTAAA